GAGGAGGCGTCCGGGGCGTCCCGGCGGGTCCCGGTCCGGCTTCCCCAGCCCGCGAACCCGAGAGGCGCCATGGGGCGGAGTAAGCGTCCCCTCCCGTTTTCCGCCCTTGACCGTCCCCGTTCCGTGCATCCTCCCGGGTCTCATGGGACCCAAGCCACCCTCTTCCCGCCGGCAGGCCCGGGCCCCGACCGGCCCTTCGTCCTCTGCAGCCCCGGCTGTGCCAGGTCTTCCCCGGACTGTCTGGGCCTCGGGGAGCTCGGCTCCAGTCCTGTAAAATGGGGTGGGCGTGGGGTGGATGAGAAATGCGCTGGACTTGACGACAAGGGCTGGCGGAAGGTCCAGGGGTTGGCGTCAGACACGCCGGGTTGGGGCTGGCGGTGTGGGTGTAGTTGTGGGCTAGTCACCGTCTCTGAGCCACAGCCCTCGGACTCCTTGGGAAGGCAGTGTAGCCTAGTGGTTGAGGGAACCGACTCTGGAGCCTCCGTTCTCCACCTACCAGCCGTGAGACTTCCTCATCTCCAAACGAAGGCAGTACTAGTATTGCTTTACATTACTGTTGAGTTATAAATGTGATTATGAATATACTGAGGGACTGTGAGGTGATAGGATTAAGTTATCTATATTAGATTGAACTGATTATATCAGATGGAACCATTCCAATATCAACACCGTCTTTGACCTTTCCAAAAGGCAGTTCTCTATAGTTCACCCTAACTTATCACTTATTGTGAAAGTGCCATTGTTAATACTTTTTAAATCAATAGATTATGGTAGCAGGGTGGGCATAGCTCAGTGGTAGAGTGCATGTTTAGTACCCACACAAGGTCCTGGGTTCAATCCCCAGCACCTCCATTAAAAAGGAAAAAATAAAAATAAATAAATTTTTAAAAAGAAAACATTAAAAAAGAGAGAGAGGGAGAGGTTGTCCTAGATGATGGGATTTCTGGCTGGGAAGAGCTGATAGCCTGGTGGTGGAAGGAGACTGGTGGTTTGCATATGTTAACACTTTGGTCCTAAACCAGTTTCTGATATTTCCTCTCCCATTGTTCCTCCTCTTATCCCCATCCTGTGGTGTCACCCCAGCTTTTTATTTATTTATTTATTTTTGCTCATCACCATTTTTTACTTTTCTGTGGATTATCCTTTGCTCCCTGTCTCTGAATCCTGTCCCACTTTTATTTTTAAATCATTGACTTAGACTTGTAGTGGAGTTCCTACCCTGTGTCGGGTGTTGAGGATACGTTCAACGGTGAACAGAGATGGGCCAGCCCTTCTGGAGCTTCTCCATTTGACGAAGAAGGCAAATTGTTACTTAAATAATATCAGTCATGACAGAGTCAAAAACTAAGATACAAGATTTTTTTTTTAATCAAAAAAAATTTTTTTACCTTGTTTTTAAATTGAAGTACAGTTACAATATGTCAGTTTCTGGCGTACAATGCAATGTCCCAGTCATGCATATAGGTACATATATTCACTTTCATAACCATGTTTATTAAAGGCTATTACAAGATATTGAATATAGTTCCCTGTGCTATACAGAAGAACCTTTTTAAAATTTTTTTTTATATATAGTGGCTAACATTTGCAAATCTCAAACTCCCAAATTTATCCTTTCCCCCACTTGTTCCCCAGTAACCATAAGATTGTTTATTATGTCTGCAAGTCTATTTCTGTTTTGTAGATGACATCATAGTGTCCTTTTTATTCTTTTTTTAAACATTCCACATATGAATGATCTCATATGGTTTTATTCTTTCTCTTTCTTGTTTACTTCACTTAGAATGACATTCTCCATATCCATCCATGTTGCTGCAAATGGCATTATTTTATTCTTTTTTATGGCTGGGTAGTATTCCATTGTCTACATACACCACAACTTCTTTATCCATTCATCCGTTGATGGACATTTAGGTTGGTTCCATGTCTTGGCTGTTGTATATAGTGCTGCTATGAACATTAGAGTGCATGTATCTTTTTGAATTAGAGTTCCTCAAAAGACTAAAAATAGACTTACCATATGATCTAGCAGTCCCACGGCTGGGTATATATCTGTTGTTAAGAACAAGTTTCTTGAGTTTTACTGCTCTTTCCATGGTTCTGAACTCTCTACATCAGAAGAAAAAACTTGGGTTTCTGAGAGAAGATTATAATAATGGGTAACATCTGTCATGCATTTACTGCCTTCCAAGCAATGTTGTAAGTGGTTTCTGTGTGTTAACCCTTGGATCCTCACAAAAATCTTGTGAGGTAGACCCTATTGTCATCTCCATTTTGTGGATGAGGAATCTGTGGCACAGAGAGGTTAAGCAGCTTGCCCACTGTCACACAGTATGGGGTATAGCTGGAATGTGAAACTGATCAGAGCTGGCTTTCTTGTATATGTTGCTACACTGTCTCTCAAGAGTAAAAGAAGGTCTGGTGAGGAAAAGAAAGTTCGTGGTTCAAGTTCTCTTGTTTAAAGTCAATAAGACTACTTTTAGTGTTAATGTCTGCCCAGGGAGAGCGATGGCAAACCTGGGGCAGTGGCTGGAGAAAATGAAAGAATTTGTTCATCTCTTCACGTTTAATCTGGAATAGATTCTGATTCAGAGAAGAATGAGCCTCTTTTAAAAAATTAGTATTGAATTCATTTTGTATGACTATCAAATTAGGGGGACTAGTCTCACGGAGATGTGGTCTGTGTACGCATTTGCCGTGGGAAGTTAAGTACCCACAGTGCCATAGGATGTTACTGCTGGAAGGATGCTCAGCGGTGTCTAATCCATGCCATCTATAAAACCAGACAGATGGAATCTGTTACGCAGAAAGTTTAAGCGTCTGGTCCCAGACCTTGCACTCATTATATGATAGGTTAGAGTTAAATTTGAGGCTCCAGCCCAGTGGCCTTTCGTAATGTCTTCATTTCCTTAAAGGCACAGAGAAAAAGTCAGTTTTATATTAACTCCTTTCAGTTCACCTTGAATAGGAAACTGCCATTAGAGTCATCCTCCCTCATTCATTGCCGTTATATCATAGGCTTCATCAGCTGCCTATAACAAATAATTTAAATCTTTGATTTCATACTTTTAAGTCATAATTCATTTCATGGACAGTGTTGTTCATATTCAGTTTCAAGCTCTTTGAAACTGAGATGAGATACATTGCTAGTTACCACACTGTTTGTTATCACCCACCTATGAACAATTGCTAAATGCTTTTTTAAATTCAGTTTACTTTATTTTCAAGTGAAAATAAAGAAAGACCAATATGATGTAATCCAAATGTAGAGTTCCAAAGGTCTAGTTTAACCCAATGATCAAATTCAAAATGTGTACACGATAGACAACGTTTTCTTTGAGCAGTCCTGTATAAATATGAATTTTAAATACACAAATGCACACATGTAATCATATCATATATACCGTTGTTTTTAGCTCATTCTTTTCTCCTTTGACTTGACCGCCCCTCCTTCCCCCTCTTTTCCTTCCAGTCCCCTCCCCTGTAATCAGTGTTAACATATCTGGTACATAACTTCCTTCATGTTCCTGTCTTGTTACGGTTCCTTCCTTATGACTTTAGTTGTAGAAGATCTTTTCTGGTAGGTTCCAGTCTTTTTCACTGATGGTTGTTCTGCGGTCAGTGTGATTTCGGTGTGCTCATGCGAGGAGGTGAGCCCTGGGTCCTTCTCCTCCGCCACCTTGGCTGTTCTCCACTAAATGCTCCTTACAAACACTTTAGCTTTGTAAGGAAAAGCTTTTTGATGAAAGGTGAGCTTCCAAGAAAAGCATCCTTCACAGAAATTGCATAGATTTACATACAAAGCACGCAGGCAAAGTTTAAGAAATAAGCAAAACACTTAATTATGGATAAATAGAGAATTTTTAATCTGTTTTATTTTTTTATGGGAGACCTAATTTAATTTTCAAACTGAACTGGTTACTAAAGACTGTTATAATGTGTTTAAGTTTGTTTTTATCACAATGACTTTATTTGACATTCGCTTTAAGGCTGGAACAGCTGTTTCCTTTCTACGGCTATTCATTGATGTAACTGAAAGAGGACTCCTTAGGCAAATATCCTGCAGCCCTAAGCAAATTAAAATACCTTGACTATTTAGTTTATATGGGTGGTTATAGTGAAATCACTCAGACAGTGCACTTGAAAATTTAACAGTTGAAACATGTGCATAATTCTTCTTTATCCAGTCCTTCTTTGAGAGTGTCCCATAACCCTGCTGAATGCTTTGCATGCAGAGGGCACTTAATCCTCTCTATAATTGTCTGAAATAAGTACCATAGAAACTCTCTTGAGACAGGTCATTGGAAAAGCTTGGTTAAAGTGCTAAGTCATAAAAGTCATCAAACTGACACATTTTAGGGCTTCTTTCTGTAGCTCTAATACAGTAGATGTTATTGGACTTAACCTTCTACTGTAAACAAACAATAAAATTGGGCAACGTGTATAAGGAAGCTGTTTTCAGGAACAACAGGTGGGACATGACTGTGCTCCTTTCGAGAAGGGAAATGGAAAGTCATTCCCCACAGTCACCCCAGCTTTCTGCCCAGAGGCACTTCCCTGCGCAGTGAAGGGAGACAGAATTCGAAGAATGCAAAGTAGTGATCTTGCTGAGCTGAAGAGGCAGAAATTAGCATTCTGAGCTGCTGCAGTTTGGAGGGCAGGATGCAGAAAAAGGGGTACAGTACGGAATGGGAGAGGGGAAGAGACTTCATAGGGATTTACTCTAGGATTTAGGCAAGGCCTGGCTGCGCGTGTAGCACAAGGCTTGGGGACATGGCAGAGGTCACTTGCTGTGGGGCAGAGGGTTGAATGAAGATGCCAGGAGCCATGCAGTGCTGGAAGACATTGAAGTCTTGGCCCATCCAGGGTTAAAAAAACCTGGCTGAGCCCCTAGGGTATTCATCTGAGACCCCTAGGAAAACCACCCCTTAGCAGTAAGCCCAGGGCCCTGGAGTCATGGCCGTGATCCAGGGCTAAGTTATAAGAAGAAACTAAAATGGGTCCATTCTAACAAAAAATACAGTTAAGCCTAACAGGGAGAAAAGGTTCTGTCGGTATGTTAACTGCCCGCCAGAATGAAACTCAACTCCCTTTAAAGGACAGTGACGTAATCCAGACTTCCTGCACTGCCTCAGTAGAACAGCACAACTACCAGTCTACAGTTAAAAATTGCTAGATGTGAGGAGCGGGAAAACTTTGTCATGATCAAGAACAAAAGCAGTCAGTAAAAGCAGATCCCCAGATGACAGCAATGTGGAAATGAGCACACGAGGACCCTAAAGCGCGTGTCAGTTCCCTACAGCTGCCATCACAAATGACCACAAAATTATCCGCTTACAGTTCTGCTGGTGAGAAGTCTGATGTGGGTCTCACCTACCTAAAATCAGGGTGTTGGTGGGACTACGTTCCTTTCTGGAGGCTCAAGGAGGAGGATCTGATTTTTTGCTCATCTGAGTTGTTGGCAGAATTCAATTCCTTACAAGAGTAGGACTGGGATCCCCATTTCACTGCTGGCTCTCAGCTGAAGGCCACTTCCAGCTCCTAGAGGCCACCTGTTTCCTTGGCTTGTGACCCCTTTCTTCATCTTTGGAGCCAGCAAAGTTGGGTCGAAGCTGGCTCACTCTATGCATCTCTTTCTCTTCTTCTTCCATCTCAGTCTTTGACCCAGCCAGGCAAGGCTCTCTGTTTTTAAGGATGCATGTGATTAGACTGGGTCTACCTGGATCATCTAAGATACTCTCTCCATCTTCAGGTCCCTGCCCTCAATCACATTTGCAAAGTCCCTTTGCCCCTTTGCCACACAAGGTAACATATTCACAGGTTCTAGAAATTAGGACATAGACATAAGATGGCCTAAGATTCCACCTTAAGATTACAAATTAAATCCAAAATAAACAGAAATCTGGAATAGTACAAGAGCCAAACTCAATGTAATAGAAAACGTAAGGTAAGATAATAGGCAAAAAACCCCAAACAATAGTAAAAAAAATTAATGGAAAGTTTGCTCTTATCCTATGACCCACCTGTTTCACTCCCGGATCTTACCACAGAGAAATGAAAACTTTTGTGCACTTAAACTTATGTATGACTTGTTTGTTTTCTTATCATTGAGTTTTAAGAGTTCTTTATATATTGTGAGTGTAAGTCCTTTATCAGACATGTGATTGGCAAATATTTTGGCTCCATCTACACCTTATATTTTCATCCTCTTAACAGTGTTTCTCAAAGAGCACAAGTTTAAAACTTTGAAGTCCAACTTGCCAGTTTGTTCTTCTATAGATTTTGCTTTTTGTGTCATCCAGGAAATCTGTGCCTAACCCGGGCTCACATGGATTCTTCTCTTTTGTCTCATGGTGATCCATGTGCAGGAGGTTTATTAGGGAGTGCCATCGGGGTGGGCAGGGAAGTGAGCAGGAGCCGGCGCAGAGGGAAGTGGGGCTGGGATGCAACTTAGCAACGGCCCTTGCTGCCCAGCCTGGGCGCTGGGAGGAGCTCTAAGTTCGGAATGGACCTCTGGTTTTCCCAGGTTGGGGTGAGAGGGCGGGGCCTTTGTGCTCCACATGAACTGGCCATTGGATATGGGCTGTCCTGGGCAGGGGTATGACCTTGGTGGAGGTGTCCCTTCCCCTGAGGTTGACTTCAAAGAAGGTAGGCAGCTGAGGGCTGTCTTCTGGCAGAGCTGCCAACAGCAGGAATTAATCCTTCAAGCTTTAAGGTGGGGGACAGGGCAGCACATGACAGCATCCACCACAGCCTGCGGTGCCCTTTCCTCATTGTTGATCTGGCAAGTGTCCACTCACATGTCAGGATCCAGCCCAGGCTTCTCCTCCACGATGCCTCTTTGACCTCCTTCCTGTCCCTCAGTAGCACTGATCACTCCCTCCTCTGTACTCCCTGTATCTCCTGCATCCTCTGTCAGTGCCCCCTACACTCTGCCCATGTTTTTAACAGCACACTCGGCATGAGTGGCCTCTAACAGTGCCGTTGGATTAGAATGAACAGGATGGCCGCCAGTCCTTGTGGTACACTAAATCTCTGTTTTGTATACATATCTGCTAGGTCACGGGAGTCGAGGGCTCTCACTACCCCTCCTCCTGCGAGGAGCTTTGTTTGTTCCTCCTGAAAACAGACCAAGTGGTGGCTGCCTTATGAGACCACAGTGCAAAATCTGGGGTGTTCTTCTCCTGTCTCTTCCATTCTGCTTAAATTAAATACGTATCAGTGGGACGAATAAATGAATGAACCTTTCCTTAATGGATCATCATGGCTATTGAATGGAGATGCCTTTGTACCTCTGCCCTTTGTCAGCCTGACCATGCCTCTCAGGAGCAAGTTGCTCTGTCTTGGATTACTTCATGAGTATCATCCAGTTTGACATGATTCCACCACAGGATTCCAGGTCACCATTCTGATGGTCGTTACCCATCAGGTTGGTCTCCATCCGTACAGCAAAACGTAGGTAGACCCTGTGCAAGACAGACAAAACGTGTCATCGTGTCTTTCTTCTGAGTCACCAGGGCATCACAGAAATTCCAGCAGGAGGCAGTACTTCTGTGATCTTTTTCCTTTTGACAATGACTTGGGCCTGGAGACTTCACATTTCACTGCAAGGAAAAAATAGTGCATTAATAACTTAATAACCTGGGGGAGGAGATGTAATATGTACCAAATTTTCTTTCAGTCACGGAAGATCTTATTAGACGGAATGCCGAGCACAATGACTGTGTGATTTTTTCCCTGGAGGAGCTCTCCTTGCATCAGCAAGAAATAGAGAGACTAGAACATATTGACAAATGGTGCCGGGATTTGAAAATCCTCTATCTGCAAAATAATCTCATTGGAAAAATTGGTAAGTCTTCGGGGCTTGGTTCTCACAGTTTCTTTAACATTTTGAATGAATGAACGTTGGCAAACACAGCGTTACTCTTTGAGGAAGATAATAGCTGATGAAGAATTACATCGGGAACAGACCCAGCCATCTCTCCGTGGTTGTGGGTGGAACGTCTCCCCGAACCTTTCTGCGCCTGGTCAGTCTCCTGGCCCCTGGGGATCTCCATCAAGTTGAGAGGTCCAGTTAATGGCCAGAAGCACATTCATTGACCTGTTCACTTAAAACCTGATTTTTAAAAAGTTTAAAAGGGAGGAGAATATAATCCAGGCATTTGTCATGGTTTTATATCCCTCTGTGAAACTGAAAGGGTCACATAGCGTTAGTAAATCCTTGTCGGATCACAGCCCATGACACCTAGGTCTGCCACGTGTATTGAGACTGTACATGTGCAAGGCACTGTGCTCAGTATTGAGTATGGGGGGTTCCACAATTACGCTCCTGTTTCCTGCTCCAGTTTGGAATGAAATGAGAAGTAAATACAGGAGTCAGGTTGATGGAGATCCAAAAATCTGCATTATGACTGACAAAAGCCTTTGGAGAATGTGGCTTAGACTTGCAGCCAAGTGGCATTCCTGATAATGTCCCCAAAAGTAAACCCGTCCACTCAGCTACGTGCGGAACTGGGCAACCACGAGCGTCCCCCCCCCCCATGCGGGCCCCCTGCTTCATGCTGGGAGCGGGGATCGAACCTGTGTTCCCTCTGCCAGCAGGGAGGCCCTGGAAGCCAGGAGAGAGGGTGGGACTGGGCATGCCCAGTTCCTCCTCCCAGTTCTCCCGTCACATAAGTTGGTCCACCCCATCAAATTGGCACTCCCACCCCCAGGGAGAAGGAGTTAAGGGGGAGAGAGAAGAGAGGCTGTGGGGTCGCTCTAACAGGGGTCCTGCCACATGGAGACAGGGGGAGTGTCCCCCAACACTCAGAAAAGCAGCAGGGTAGTTTAGTGGGCAAAGCAGGCGCGGGCCCTGATATCCAGCAGACCTGGTTTGAATCCTACCTCTGCCGCTTAAAAACTGTGCAATTAAACTTGCCTGGCCTTAGTTTTGCCATCTGTAAAATGGAGACAACAACGTCTAACACGCAGATGTGGTGTTAGGACCACATGGAGTGATGCGCTTAGCTTTGTGCTCACTCGTGAGATGTTGGCTGCTCCTTATTAACATCGTCACTTACCCAGGGTGCCCCAGGCCAGCCCCATGGCCATAGGAGCAGAAGGGAAAACCAGACAGAATTGGAGGAAAGGGATGGAGTCAGGGTTGATGAGGCAGAGCTGAGTACCAACCCCCGTGGGTTCTGGCACTGGAGCCCAGAGGTGGGCTTGTGAGTTTGTATTTGAACCTTCCATGGTCACATGTGGTTGTTCTCAACAGGGGCACTTGGCAACATCTGGAGACATATTTGGTTATCACTGTGTGTGTGTGTGTGTGTGTGTGTGTGTGTGTGTGTGTGTGTGTGTGTGTGTAAGGGGGTCAGCTACTGGCAGTTAGTGTGCGGAGGCCAGAGACGTGCTAACCATCCTGTAGTGCACAGGAATACCCCCCACCCCTCCACCCACGAGAAAGACACTGCCCCGCCCAGCATGGTAGTATCGCTGAGGCTGAGAAACTCTCGCGATGTGGTTGCCTCCGGTGTTTAGTGGATAATCGAAAACTGGCTGTAGGCATGCAAAAAGTCTAGAATTTGCATCATTTTTGAAGGTTTATTACCATTCTTTATATTCTTTTGAATCTTTATTTTCGGCGTCTTGTACTTTACCAGAAATTAGAAACTCTGGCACATTGTTCAGTTAAAAAGGCTGTTATGGAAAACACCCAGCTTTGTGCACGGGGACATTAAAGAGCCGCCCTAATTGTGCAGATCTAAAAGAGTTCCCGAAATTTTCATCTCCACAGCTGGGTCCATCACAATCACTAATTAGTAGCATAGTATTTTGGTCCTTTTCAGAGCTGTGAGAAAGCTTACATTTTTGCTTCCAAAGTATTCTTAAATTAAACACCCTTTTAAATCCTAATAATGGGATTTTTCCGAGCTACTCCACCCATAGGCACTTATTTAGCAAGTAAAACTATTTCTCTAGGATTCAGACTTGATCTTGTGCCCCGGAGGTAGGAGTTTGCAAAATACTTGCCTTTCGAGAAGCTCTGTTCCTCACTGGGGGATCCAGATGGGTTGTGGGGGGAGGCTCTGCTTACTACTGGTCCCAATGTGAGCTGAGGATTGTCTGGGCTCTGTTAACCTGGGGCTCAGGCCCCACCCCAGACCTACCGACTCAGAACCAACCAGAAGCTGCATTGGTAACAGCTTCCCAAGGCGCCCCGGGCCTGGGCAAAGCTGAAAGCCTCTGAGCCTCTTGAGTCGCGGGATGGACTTGGTCCATCACTGGTGTGTAGGTCTGATTATGGCGACAGATGAGAACTGCTTCCAGGATGGGTTGGCCTCAGATGCTAACTCCGCTGCCCAGGAAGCTCGGTACATTTTTACTTACAGAGTCTTGTTTTTTCCTGACCAAATTGTCTCATTGCTCTTGAGGAGTTAATTTAGGAAATCCGTCCAGAAAAAAAATCTTAGCTTTTTTTTGTACCAGATGACTTCTTGGCATTTAGAGGGCTGTATGTTTAACATCCATGGAGAAGGAACAGGTGTTTTATTGTGGGCTGGTCATTTTAGCCATGGTAACTTTCCATGTTTTTGCTCAGAGACACTGTACTAGGATCCCTGGCGCGCAGAGCCCTGCAAAGCTGCTGTTGAAGCTCAGACGCTGCCTGGAGACACTTCCGTAAACATCAGTATTACTTAAAATGATATAATTGCTGAGAGAAACTTTAGTAGTTTATTCCCAAAACCTCATTTTAAAAAATGAGTAAACTGAGGCTCAGGGAGGTAAACTGTTGTCCTCTGCTCTAGGGGAACACGTATATGATCTTTTATAAATTTAGATGAACTATTAATGATGATAAGGGGGGTGATTATAAATCCCAATATTGGATCTTCATAATATCATGAAAAATGAGCAGAGGAGGCACGATTTAAGTGAGTCTGCCCCAGATGCTCATTCCTCAGCAGGGTCTTCTACATTCATGACACCTTAAGATCGTTCTTTTACAGAGGAGGGTAACGATTTGGTACCACGCTCTGGCGTCAGATCTCCCGGCTCTTCCGCTTAACCTTCGACAAGCGGATTGATTCTCTGCAGCACGGTGCAAGGGAAACAACGGCCTTCCTCCTTCATAGGGCAGCTGTGAAGATTGCACGAGACAGTGCGTGCAAAATGCTTAGGAAATTGCCGGCATATAGTAAGCGCTCCGCAGTGTAAGCCGTGGTGTTATTAGCTGTTTATAAAGGCCCCACCCTACAGCCATTCCTTGACTTACCTAAGCTTGCTGTTTTGTCTATACGGGCTTTCATATTTATTAAAAAGAATAATCCTGTATCAGGTAGACTTTGGCTTCATGTAAAGGAGAACCCAACTCAAGATGGTTTAGCAGTGAGGAAATCTAACATCTGACCCAACTGTGAGTCTAGAGATGGGCCAGTCTCCAGGGTGGGTTGATTCCTTCTTTCTGCTCCACCAGCCACAGTGGGTTTTATCCTACAGCTGGTTCCCTCATGGTTGCAAGATGACTGTGAGTACCAGTAAGGGCAATACTTCCTTTTTAACGTCCATCAGGAGAAAGGGACAGGAAGTGCCCAAGCATAGAATATAGCTCTTTCCCTCACATCTGATTGGACGTACTTGGTGGCATGCCCTCTCCCACATCCCACAGTTGCCTGGAGACTGCCATGGGTGAGGGGACTTAAGCCTGGGCTCCGAACCTGTCACTAGCAAGAGACATGGGATTGCCATGCACTGGCCAGGCATGGTTAAACCTAACCCCCCCGAAGCTGGGGCTGTGTAGAGACACAGGCAGAACTGGATTCCATTAGAAAAGATTGAGGGAGACATGGATGCTGCATGTGCAACCAACAGCCTCTGATGTGCAGATACAGATTCAAAAAAGCAACATGGTTTTGATGACCATAATGGTCCTTAGAGTCTCTATCATTTTCTTACTAAGTTATGTAAAAATGTCTTTTATCTTGAACGTTAATGAATTACATTATTTGTATTTTTCAGAAAATGTTAGCAAACTCAAGAAGCTTGAATATTTGAATTTAGCTTTAAACAACATTGAAAAAATTGAAAATTTGGAAGGTAAGAATTTCCTTATAATTTATTATTAATTAACATTGAGATGTAAAATTAGATTTAAACAGTATTGCTTAAACAATAGGTAGACTTTTCAAATTAACATTTTAACAAAAATCTTACATTTATTCATTCTTGTTGTAAAAAGTCAAATAACAAGATACATAAATTCAAAAATGGAGCCTGCTTCACCCCTTCCCAGCCCAGCTGCCTTCCCAGCGGCGGTGGTATTAACACCGTGGTGTGTTGAGGGTAGTTTTGTTACATTTTGCTTGGTATCAATGGGCTCAGACTATGAATATTGTTTTCAAAATCGATTTCTTCCATGAAATTGCTCTTCTGATATCCAGGGGAGGTGGCGGGGGGCTGTGTGGTGGAATGATTGTACACTGACTTATCTACCCGTTTCTCTGCAGATGGACATTTGGGTGGGTCCTGCATTTTGCTATAAGCATGGCTGCCATGAGCATCCTTCTACAGTTCACTCTATGTGCATGTGTAAATTTTCCCTAGGCTAGATACTTAGAAATGGAATTCCTGGGTTTAAATATACATATTTTGGAAAAGATTGCCAAATTATTCTCCAAAAAGTGATGATCAGTTTACACTTGTGCTGATGGGAACCCCTTTCCCCCCAACTTCATTCATGCCTTTTATAAACAATCTTTTTTTGAAGATAGGAAGACATTTGTTCTCTAGTAGTTTTTGAACTCTGCACCTCACTTCTTATTATTGATCTTCCATATAGCCTTTCAGATGTTCATTGAATATTTGTAGTTTTTTCTTACATGAATTGCTACTTCATATCTTTTGGCCGTTTTCTACTGATTTGACTTTTCTTCATGTGCTCTTATACATTCCAAATATTAATCCCTTCTCTTGAGTCTACTACTTTTGTTTCATTTGTGGTGCTGGTATTGTTCAGAAGTCTTATTTCTGAAATTAATATATTCACACTTATCAATCTTTTTTTATGATTTCTGAATACATTTGTATTCCATGTAAGTTCTGATTTTAATAATTTTATTTTTTACATTTAGTCTCTCTAATGTACTTCAAATTTATGGTGTGTTTCTGAATTGACATATTTGGACCATTTGCTATTTTTTAAATTGACATATAATTTACATACTGTAAATTCATCACGTTAAAATACGCAATTCAGTGGTTTTTAGTATGGTTGTACATCCATCATCACTATCCAGTTCTACTTTGTGCTGGGTTTTTTACCTTAAATGTCTAGGAACACTTGGTGTCTGCTCATAGTCACGAGGGGTTTGGTCGTTTGGGTGGCTGCGTGGACTTACTCTGCAGTTGGGAGGTTGTTTCCCCCTCCAGCCTCTTGCCTGGCGGGCAGGGCTGCTGGGGGCGCCGTGTGAGTGGGCGGGGCGTGGAGCAGAGGCAGGAGAGCGGCCCTCCCCACCCAGCTCCCATCTGTCAGTAGCAGAAATTGGGAGGACCTGATTTAGGTTATGTTGGATGTTTAGCCTATTTGTCTCCCAGTGTAGAAATCGGTATTTCAGTCGCTACCAAGGTTATATATCAACAAAGACATCAATATTAATCATGCATCTTTAATGTTCATCCTCAGAACCTAAAATGTCATCCCTATCAAAGCCCCGAACCCACCGTCAGTGCTGGGGTTGAGGCGGTGCTTTCCATCATCTGGCATTTTTCTGCATGAGAAATGGAGTCCTTGCTCTCTCCCGGCTCCAGCCCTGTTACCACATTCTCAAGCGAACAAATGAAATAACAAAATTTGCTCTATAGCCATGTTTTTATAGTAGTGAAATGTCAATCTGTAATGCCAGAGAAATAATTAAAACTGTCACTGTCAGTTGTCTTACTTACCCGGGGCTGCTTGTTTTCGTTAAGAAATGGTCTGAAGTGATGCGGAGAGTTCTGTTTTGGCGCGATGTGTTGGCCGTCGACCACTAGAGGGCAGCATCGCCACTGTTGTCTTCTTGAGCTTTGGGAACAGCCCGCAGTCCACTCAGACCTTTTGCCTGGACACGTCTTCCCTTTGGTGCTCAGCCTTCTAGCTCTAACGCAAATGCAGCGGGTTCAGGGTTGCTTGAGGGGCTGTTTGGGAGGATGGGACGTAGGGAGGGATGGGTGTCTTATCTTTTGTCAAATACGCACTTTTTGTTTAATTTTAAATGTTTGAGGAGAGAGAGGAGGAAGTTGGATGTACATACTCAGCTCACCTACTTGGGTAATTTCAATACAATTTTAAATGTAGGTCGAATTTTTGTTTGTTTATTTTTTATCTTAATGGATGGCACAACATAACTGTATCCTTTTTTCTTTTTCCCTTTTTGTGGATTCACCAGGATAGAATAAATAAAGTGCCTTTCTTTCCAACAGGATGTGAGGGGCTGACAAAGCTAGACTTGACTGTGAACTTCATTGGAGAACTAAGCAGCGTGAAAACCCTTCAATGCAACATCCACCTGAAGGAGCTCTTCCTCATGGGGAACCCGTGTGCTGACTTTGACGGCTACCGGCAGTTCGTGGTGGCAACTCTTCAGCAACTGAAGGTACACTTTTTCAGGGATACGGAATTCTCAGAAAAATGAGAACAAGTGGCCACAGTCATTCCTGATTTGTTCCCAGCATCTTCAGAGGATGCATTTTCTTAGAGAATGGAATATTCCAGGAAATCAAAACCGATTTTTTTCACTTACTGAACCTTTAAAATTCTCTTAAGAGCTTTAATAAACCTTTGAAAAATAAATTGCGTACTTTTCTCCTTTCTCATTCAAAGCACATGTTGCTTAATTGAAGTATTTCTTGATGCGTTCAAGTCATTGCTACAAAGAATGTTCATTATTACCAACAGCAAACCAAAAGTTTAGGGGTTTTGTGGTGTCTCCACCTTTGTATTTCATTTCATAGCCTTAAACTACTGTATTTTTATAATTTTTTTTATTATTGCTTTCTATTAATTCATTCACTACGTCAGTAGTTCTCAAACTCTGGTATGCTTCAAAATGCTTAGATGTGGTTCTCTGGGCCCCTTCCCCAGAGTTGCTGATTCAGTGGGTCCCGTGGACACCCAGGAGTCTGCATCTCTAACAGGCTCTCTGGTGACGTTGATGCTTCTGGCCCAGGAACCTCATTTTAGAACCGCTACTTGTGTGTTCATCTCTGATGCCAAATCTCCCCATAGCTGATGTTTTGGGAACCGGGAAAGAATATATAATTTTAGTCATATACCTGAGCGTATTTAAGTAGTAATGTTAATTTCGTGTAATTCTGAGTTCCTGACCTGCAAGTGTTGGTTTGATGAGAAACTTCCCAGGTGAATCTGAAATCGGCTCCCATACACAGAGGGCAAGGAGAGACCAAAGAAAGAGGCAGCCACTCCAGAACATGGGCTCATTTGTATTAGGGCTCAGTTTTGGGTGATAGCCGAAGCCCTTTTCTGTAGAGAGCGCTGGGGACTTGACTTGAGGCCCTGAAATTCTTTCTTTAGTGAGCAGTTATAAAATTAATGTATTTTGAGCACTTGTCATTAATAATCAGAAGACCTACCTCTTATTATTACCAGTGAAGAGACTTTGTAAACTGTATTAATTGTGTGAAGTAAACACCTATTTAGATCAAAATTTCTGGCATTTCCCATTCATTACTTTGCTTTTAATTCCGTATCAGCAAGGTGCATTATTTATTACTTCTAATCATGCGAGCAAAGTCAAGTTGCGGCTGATTCAGATTGTGACTTTTGAATAAATGCACTGCGTTGGTTGTTTTTTTATTCAAGTGGTTGGACGGTAAAGAAATCGAGCGTTCAGAAAGGATTCAGGCGTTGCAGAACTTTCCAGTAGTTGAACAACAGATCAGAGAGCAGGAGAAAGCTTACTGCCTCAGACGAGCCAAGGACAAGGAAGAGGCTCAGAGAAAACTGCAAGAGGAGGAAAAGGAAGGTCAGGAGGAGAGAAGTCACTCCGGCTTCGACGGACATGTGTACATGGACACCAGCTCTACTCTGTATGTAAATAATGTACTTTCTTATTAACTTTTGTCCAAAGCAAAACTGTTGTTAAAGGTTCCCTGCCCAAGGTGTTCACAGTGTCACTTACATTCCAGTTGATTGATTTGAAGAATAAATTACGGTGTGAATTTGGGGGGAAGACTATGCAGGACCGTCCTGTTTGTGACAATTCCGTGAGGCTTTCTTCCCTTAGGGGAAAAAAAAAAGCCTTCCCTAACCAGCAACTTTAATTTGCATCTGAAATTCTCCTAAGACAAATCTCTCTGAAAGATGAACAGGAAAGATGAATTAACAGGTGTACTTTGATTTATAAAATAGGAATATTTTAGAAAAATTAAATGCAAATCACATTATTATAAATTGAGTCATTTTGACTGCATCATAAGATGTTCTGCTTTGTGAATTATATAATGAATACATTTTTAATGTGATTAATAAGCCCCTAATTGGTCTTTTTTACAAACATGAATTTTTCATGCCTACTTATTTTAAGAGAATTGCAACTAGAGTGAATTGATTTGATTCTATACAACGAAAGCTTTAAATATTTTGATAACAGAATCTCTTAAACTTGAGAAAATAATAGTTGTAAAATATTTGTAATCATTTCCCACTTGGAAATCATTTCTGCCCCATTTACTAAATTACTTCTCTTCTCCCATGATCTGTAAGGCCACCCTTATGATGCGCCCTCATCGTTCACAGGCCCATTTCCGGGCTCCCTAGACCGCTCCATGGAAGTATCTCCACATGGTTTCAGTTTCTATAAACCTTGATCTTTGGTAGGAGATACTCTCATTTTTCAAAATTACCCTGGCTCTTCCTGACTTTTCTTTACTCTTCTGTGAGAATTTTAGTACCGGGCTATTCAAATTCCCCCAAATCCCTAGTGTAATTTTGATTGAAATTGCATTTAATTTATATGTTAATAAGAAGAAAGTTGACGTCTTCACAACATTGATTCTTTCCTTGCTGAACTTTGGGAGAGCTCTGTTTACTGAGACCTTCTTCTGAGTCCCTCAGTAAGCTTTGGTAGTTTTTTCCATAAAGATTTTACACCATTTCTTACTAGATTTATGTCTAAGTATCTTGTTGAATGGGATTTTAAGAATAGACTTGTGATTGGGTCTTTCTGATGAATAGAGACAAATGGTTTCTGTATCCTGATACTGTATTAGGTGATCTTGCTGAACTTTTTAAAAAGATGCAATAATTAGTCTGTAGATTATCCTGTGTTTTCTATGTAGAAAAACAGAGTTTTTATAAATAGCAACTTAAAAAATTTTTTTCCAATCCTTCTACTTCTTTTTTATTTTTTTGTGGTGCCAGCTAAGCCTCTGGAATGGGGTGGAAAACCGTAGTAAGAATGAGTATCTGTATCTTGTTCCTGACTTTTAAAACATGTTTCCAATTCCTCATCATTGAGTATATTAATCATTAAGCGATGATCCCTGTGAGGCTTTGGTAGAGTTAAGTTAGTTTCCTTTTATTCCAAGTTGATGAACAGCTTAGATCGTCACAGATACTGGATTTTTAGTAAATGCTTTTTCCACATCTACTGAGATAATCATGTTTTTCTGTTAATGTGTGAATAGATTTTTCAATATTAAACCACCCTCGAATTTCTCGAGTAAACTCACTTTGTCCATTTATTTCTGGTGCATTCATTTTGCTAATTTTTATGCATAATATTCAAACCTCTGTTCCTAAATGAGCTTATGCTATAACAGCCTAAAAGATGTTTACCTCCTTTTCCCCATCCATCCTCCCAGACCCAGACTTCTGAATTCAGGAGGAGCCTGAAGAGGACAGGGAGAGAATTTTAGAGATGGAGAATCATTAAAGAACCTGGCAATAGTATGATCCAATTGTTTAGAAAGATTCCTCCGAGGGCAGTGTGGAGGATGGAGTCGAAGGGTACAAGACTGGAGGTGGGGTGGTTGCTAAGGCCCAGTGGTCCCTGAGCTTGTCTATCAGAACCTCCCACAAAATACTGAACAGCAAGATTCCCAGGCGCCACCCATAACAACTGGCTAGACTCTGGCGGGAGCCCGGGAACCTGTGCTCTGCATCACACTCCCCGGGTGACTCATGTCAGCCAGATCTGTGCACCCTGGAGTCTGATGACTGCTGCCTTCCTGGTGACAGGTGAGCTGGGCCTGCCCCAGTGCTGTGGCACTAATTTCCTCCAACTCGGCTCAGATAGGTTCTCTTTCAGACACATTTTGTCATTCAAAGGTAAGAAGATAACATAAGAGAAATGTGTAAGATATTTTAGGGGCAGCATTCAGGATGAAACTCGGGCATCTGTTATTGGTCTTAATGTGCTCTGTGTTCCTTCCTAGCCCATCTTCTGAAGACAGCAGAGACCATGGCCGGGCACCAGAAAAACAAGAAAGGGAATGTCCGAAAAAGAAATCAGATGGCAGTCAAGAGGACCTGGAATTCTGGAATAAGCCCTCTTTGTTTACTCCTGAATCTAGACTGGAAACGCTTAGACACGTGGAAAAACAACGGAGAGACCAAGAAAAATTAAGGTATTCCATGTTTTCCTATCGTTGAGAGTGATAGGATATATTTTCTTGCTTGTACATTATTTTGCCCATTATCTGTATCAGATCTCCATTGGCCATCACACACAGACTTGGCTTTTCCTAATTTCAGTTCTTCGTTGAAGTATAGCTACTAACATTTATTAATGTCAAACTGCCATCTTTAGAATGTCCTGAATTACTGCATTTTAGTGTAGTTTTGTTTGTATGTCTTTAGCTTTTTAACAACCTAAGTGTATCAAATAATGTTACAGCCTGGGTAAGCGGTATTAGTTGTCCGGATCACTCTGTTCAGTGTGCTGTAGTCTACCCAGTCCAATGGGTCTCGGAGATATTTACCTCTTCTGGGTGCCCCTTGATTGTCCTGGGTCATGGAGAATAATGTAATTTATGGAAACATGAACTTAATTGGATATGGTAACCCAGTGTAAGATGCAGAAAAAGTGTTAGTGAATTTACATTTTAAAATAAAGTTAACTGGCACAAAATCTATATTAAAAGGACAATAGGAGTCCAAGGCAAAGAATTGCCTACCGTTCTTTCATCTAAACAGACTTGTCCACCTGATCTTCTCGAGTTTGTCCATGTATGCCTTTTTAGAGTTTTTATGTATTTTCAGTTGTGTTTTAAATAAATAGAATTTATATTCTAGATTTTTCTTTCATGTTATTCCATGAATCTTTTCTCTTTGCTCCGTATTTTTCCCTTCTGCCTTTATCCCTACATGGTAATGAAAGATAACTGTCTTGGGTTCATCTCACCAGAACTTGCTCCACTCTGTATGCAATCATATTAATCCATTTCTGCAAATGGAGGATTGGGTGTCTTTTTTTAAAAACAAATATAGACATATGTTTTATATATTTGTTCTCACTAAATCATCATCAACACTTTTCTATAACTTTCTAGACCAGTAGGTAAAGAGCGAACACATTTTTTTTAATAGCTTCAAAGTATTTCATTGCATGAATGTACCGTAATCAATCCAATCATCCCCCCATTGATGGACATTCATGACGGTTCCAGGGTTTTGCCACTGCAGATAATGCTGAGATAGACCTCCTTTTACGTAGATCCTTGTGAACTGGTATTTTTTGTTTCTATAAAATAGATTCTATTTGGCATTTTAAAAACTGTAATTTTAACTAAAGTAGAAGCTGTATTCACAAATGGAGAATTGACAGTTAGCTGAGTAAATCATGCATAAAATAGACTCATTTAAATATTCATGGATATTTCATGAAAAGGAGCTTTTCCCCCCATTTGAATTATCTGGCAAATTGTCTTGGTCACGTTTTCACTTTACAGACACAGATACAATCATACAGAAATCTGGCTCGGTTGTCAGTTCCCGGCCGTGGACTTCATTGACAGTGAATTGTTGACATCTTCATAAATACCAGATTAATTTTTCTTAAACTATTTCACAAAAATATTCATGGCTTTTATGTTGTCTTTGTTTATTTTCCCTTCCCCCACCCCCGCCCCTTGTTTCCACTTACCTCCGATCTTAAGTGAAAAGAAGAAGAAAGTGAAAGCACCCAGGAGGCTGATCGCTGAAGACGGGAGAGCCCTGAACGTAAATGAGCCCAAGTGAGTGAGGCCCGGGGGGGGGGGGGGGGGGCTCGGAGCAGCAGGACGCGTGGTGGCGGTCATTACGGTGGTTGGTGGTTCCGACTGCCGGTTTGCTCTGCAGAGAATGTGTCTGACTGCTTTTAACAAGCTCGATGGGCCTAAGAGAATGGCATTCTGTGCGTATTTGAAAGCAGAACATCTATTATGTTTTCAAGTGCATAATGTTATTATACTTCTTTTTTTGACATCCCCCAAAGTGATACTGGCATATGGAAACATTAGTTATTTCTGCGTCCCCCGAAACTTTGGACCCTCTACAGTTTTCTGCCTGAAAATCCCAAGTGCACTATTGTGTCTCTTACTTTTTAAACTCTGCCATGAACAAGCTGGCTGAGAGTACAATCAGTTTCCTACCCATCTTCTTTAGACCCTGGAACACACCTACAGAGCATTCGAGAGCTAAGGAAAGGAGTGGAAATGAATACCTCAATGGGGCTGATGGGAGAGGAAAACTATGCAAACTGGAAGTCCTCCTGTGTAAGAGTGTCTGATCCACCCCAGCGGGCTGTTTTAAAATTTAAAGCTAGAAAGCAGGCAGAAAAGGCTTTTGTAGTCAAAATGCGGGACAAAAAGGACTCAATCTTGACTTCATTTCACTGCTTGAAACCCATCTTCTTTCATGATTTCATTTGCTGGGTCATTACCATGGCAGAGGTGCTGTCTGAGTTGTTCCCCGGCGTCACTCGCTTCATCTTCGCAGCCGTCCTGTGTGAGACGCAGTGTTTCTTTCTCAGGGTCCAAACCCTGAGCCGGAGAGAGGTGACTGACTTGCCCCGGGTCCTGCAGCTCATAGGCGGTGTGTCTGACTTGCTTAATAGCTTGTGAAGTAGTCTGTGTATTTCCCTGTCTCTTCTGCTCAGCCGAATAAAGAAGGAGGGAGGGAGGAGAGGGCACACACTCCCTGTTTTAAGGAAAATTGCCAGAAAGCACCAAACAACACTTTCCTTCACAGAACGAAATCACATGACCCCATTTGACCTCTCTGCAAGGGAGGCTGGAGAGCGTGTTCTTTATCCTGCATGGCCATATTCCTCCTTAAAATCAAGCGTCCTGTTACTGTGGATAAAGGGGGAGCAGACAATGGGGAATGAGCATCAGCCTTGGCCATGGGAAACCTCTCTGAAATTACCTTTCAAGAGATATATGAAGGGAGACTTTACGTTGGTGGTTGGAAAATGGGGAAATAAGCAGTCAAGGCAGAGGCACAGCACATACAGAAGCTCTCCGGGGGTGAGAGCAAGAATGCACGCAGCACTTGAGCAGCCGAGGACGTCCTGCGCGGCTGGATTGAGGAAAGCCATGAGAGTGCCTTCCCCAAGCAGACATCCTGCTGACAGCCAGATCTAGAGCTAACGTTGCATTTTTCCGAACAGTTTAGCCTCCATTCTTTAATATTGTTGGGTTGTGTATTTTACAGAATAATATAAGGGAAATACTCAAATAGGATCAACCAAGTAATTCTGAATAGGACATCAACAGTATGGAGGTTAATACCTAGGACTCAGCCTCAGTATTCAGTTCAAAGATGTGAGTTTGAGATCCTGCCTCCTTGGGCCCACCTGACCTCTTTCTCAGCTACATCAACCCCTCTGAACCTCTGTTTCTTCTTCTGTAAAGTGGAGGTGATAGATAATGGACAATATCTCAGCATTTCTGGGGGCAATGGAAAAGTTACCAAGGAAAGGAGGAGAAAAAAGACGGCAAGGAAAAAAAAAAGACAAGACTGTTTAAAACTTAAGGAAGAGAATGGTGGTTGAGGGGAAGCAAATGCAACACGTAATTCTCTGTGAATAATTCCGTGTTTTAGTTTGCTTCCAGCAAGCTCGAATGAAATGGAAAAGAAAACTTTAACCACCAGATGTCTCTATCTCTGCACCAGTGCTGATTTTTTAAATGTAGTTTAAGATTCTCCTATTTAAACAAGGTAAACAGAAATAATTTATGAATATGTTGTAGGTTTCTGTTGAAAATTTTAAACTAACAGATGCAGCTGCCAAAATACATTTGTCATTGAAGATTATGATATAGTTGTTATCGAATGTACTTTCGATAATGGAATGGGGTTATCTCTAAAGTATTGCTAAAGACACCCTCTTTTTTTTTTTTTATCCCCGCAATGGATTATCCTTCAGACTTGACTTCTCTTTGAAAGATGATGAAAAACGTCACCAGATCATCCTGGACCTTGCTGTGTATAGGTAAAGGCATTCTATTATGTGCTTATTTAGCGGCATTTCTTTCTGTTTTCATTCTGAGTCCCAGTCTTTCGGGTTCTGAACATTAACAGTGGCTTCTTTATGGCCGGCAGCCACCTCTTCCCTCTTCCCAGGCCGCGTCCTGTGTCCTGACTGCTTTCTCTTCCACGTTCCCTGCCCCCCATCACCACATGCTGACTAGAGCTCCCTCCTCCCTAACTCTCCACCATGACATTCACAGCCTCTGTCACCTTCCACCCATCCTTGTTGACATCATTTAAAGACACCCAGGCCATCTGCCTCACTCCTTGAAGAAGTTAGGCTCCAGCTCACATCCTGCTGATTTCAGGGTCCCCTCCCAGGACCTTTCTGCATCTCCAGCGCTTTCAGACCCACTGGTGCCTCCCTCTGCCTGTAACACTCTCATCCTGGGTGTCCCTGTGGCTTGTTGCCTGTCCACTTCAGGCCTCTGTTCAGATGTCACTTCATTATAGGGCCTCTCTTCCCCACCATCCAGTATAACCAGTAGCTACCCCCGGCCCAGCCCTTCCTTCCACCTCTCCCTGACAAGCTCTAAACTTACTTGTATTTTAAAAAAATTGTAGTCGAGGCAGAAACTTGGTTTCGTTTGTTCCTCCCTCTTTCCCTCTCCAGTACCTAGAACAGCACCTGACCCCTGTTAGTTGCCCATCAAGTACAGGAATGAGTGAAGGAGTGAATGAATACTGATTACAGGTCTCCAGTACCTAGAACAGCACCTGACCCCTGTTAGTCGCCCATCAAGTACAGGAATGAGTGAAGGAGTGAATGAATACTGATTACAGGACTCAGTGAACATCTGCAGTCGTGAATTGTAACACAGGCATTTCTCTTTTCGAGGGATTTTATTCCGTGCTCTATCTTATTTCATCTCTCAGTCACCCTGTGAAACTCACCCAAGGAGGGTGAGTCTTGTCAAAGTAAACAGTGAACCCTCAGGCGTAGGTCCAAGTTTGTTTTTCTTAATTGTAATAAAATAAACGTAACTTAAAATTCAGTGTTTCAGCCATTTCCGTTGTACAATTCAGTGGCATTTAGTAAATCTGCAGTGTTGTGCAGCTGTTTCAACTGTCTATGTCCAGGAAATTTTCTCGCCCCAAGTGGAAACTTGAAGCCCATTAAGCAGTCCGTCCTCATTTCCCTCTTTGCCTGACTACCACTGGTCTGCCTTCTGTCTCCATGGATTTGCCATCCTAGGTCTTTCCTGTAAATGGAACCACGTGTGGCCTTTGTGTCTGGCTTCTTTCACTTAGTGTAGTGTGTTCAGGGTTCATCCGTGTCGTAGCATGTGTCTGAATGCCTCTCCTTTCCATGGCTGAATAATATTCCGTCGGATGGGTGGACCACCGTTTTGTTTCTCCATGCACCGTGGGTGGGCACGTGGGTCATTTCCACCTGCGGCTTTTGTGACCAGGGCCAGCTCTCAGTGTGTCCCGTCCGCTTCACACCCAGCCAGCCGCCTCGCCCACGCCGCCCATCAGTCCTGCCCATGTCTGCCAGGTCGCCTGCCTTTAAGGAGCTTCTGGCTCTTCTCCCGCTGTTACCGTGGCCTCTGTTCCTCCAGCTCCCTGAGCTTCCCTTTCTGCTGCTGTTCAGTTAAACATTCCCTGTTTCATCCTCTTAGGTCCTTTCTATTTTTAGGCCTTATTCCTGGAGTTTAATGAATGTGTACCCGGTGGTCTTCGTCACTCGGTTGGCTACTTCACATTCAGTCCTCAAATGAAAACTTCCCTCGTTACCCCGTGTATGTACATTTCAAGGAGTGATGCTCTGTCTCCTGTCCAGGTAGCAAAATCCTTCCATCCCCATGACCCTGTCCACACTATTACACTGAAATTCCTCATTATCTTCGTTGGCACATGGATGTATGTGTGAAAGTTCATTCACTCCTGTATGCTTCCTGTTTCTAGTCCTCCAATATCTAGAGAACGCCTGCTGTGTGCCTGGCACTGGGAGACTATAACTGGCATGTTCTCAGTGCAGTCCCTGCTCTCCTGTAGCTTACGGCCCAGTGTGGGTGACAGACACCTCACAGGCAGGCATCTAACAGGTAACTGCAGGGGAATAAGAGCCCTGTACAGGAAAGGGCTAGAGTTCAGGGTTGGAGAAGAGTTGCGTGTGTGGTCTGCTGGTCGGCGGAGTAGGGGATGGTTAGGGAAATAGGGAAAGCCGGTGACGTGAGCGCTGGAAATTGAAGGGTAAGATGTAGTGAGCTCTGCAAAGAACTGATAGAAGATTCTTTTAGGTAGAAAAAACCAGCACATGCAAAGCCCTTGCAGGTAGAAGCAGGTGAACATTAGGTGGCCCTAAGCATGAAAAGGAATATGTAATCCATTGAAGTGGTAGATATTAAGCCTGAAGTGGCAGGAAACTTTAACTCTAATTTTTATTATCTTAATTCTTTATTAATTAGAACAATGCTTTACTAACACTAACTCTGTACTAGGCATTATGCATGTGTCTTCATAGCAGTCTTAGCGGGCGGGCACTGCGTGTAGCCTCCTTTTGCAGACGAGGAGACTGCGCTTACAGAGGTTAAAGAATGTGGTCCAAGGAAATAAAGCAGGAGGGAGGGTGGAGCCATTCCTCACAAGTCTGTGTGGCTGAAGCCTGAGCCTGTCACCCCTGTATTGTCCTACCCCCTTTATGTCTCTGATTTTTGAATCCACACTGCATTTTCAGATGTTCATAATCAATATTTTAACATGTATAAAAATACTTATTTGGCTGAACTTCTTAACGAGCCATGTGGAATCTGAACCTTCCATCTGCTCATGAAGTGGGGGAGAACAGTTGTTCCCACCCCACCCCATCCTGGGGTCGCTGCCCTAGCGGGGAGGCTGTGCCTATAGGAGGACCCGCCCTCCAAGGGAGGAGAGGAGCCCGGCTCCCAGGAGAGCCGGCATCAGGGCAGCTGCCGAACAGCTGCAGGGGATCCAGAGCCGCCAAGGAAGCAGGGGCTGGTGGTTGCAGGTCTGAGCTTAGTGGGCTCAGCATTCCTGGCTATTCAAGTCAGACTTAGGGACTTAAAATAAAATATTCATGAAAGACCATGACAAGCCGTTTTTCGCAAACCTGGGGCGCTTCAGGCAGCAGATAGGTGAGGGGCAGTCAATGCCATGTGTGCTTGTGGGTCTAAAGATGAAATTGCTAATATATTGAATTCCCTTTGGTCTGGGAATTAATTGAAGACGAATAGTTTCAGACTTGTTTCACATGGAAATTGTAAGCTCTCTTCGTTTCAAATGGTCCCCTAAGTGTGAATTTGTATACGCGCTTCTTTAAACTTAATGTTTTTGAAAATCATATGATGCGGCTGTTTAATTTTGAAGGTATATGGACACTTCCTTAATCGATGTTGACGTGCAGCCGACTTACGTGCGGGTAATGGTCAAAGGAAAGGTGGGTGTCACGCTGTAGGCTGTTTCTGTTTCAGAAGCTCAGCCTTGCATTAAACTAGGTTTCCTCAGAAAAATTAAAGTAATTTTAAAATAGAAAAGAGAAGCCCAGTGAGAGTGCAGTTTTTCAGACACGCGATTCTGTACAACAGAAGTGGTGTTCAGCGGGAGTGCTTGCTGACCATCGTGTGGCTTGATAAAATTAGTACTTTTAGCCTGCGTCTATTCTGTTAGTAGTTTTTTCAAAGCTGATAAGATGGTCCTATATGGGTAGGCTGTGTTTGAAATTATGTTTAAATAATATAATGTTTAAATAATAATAAATAATGTTTAAATTTTAAATTGTCAATGATTTCATTCATAGCAACCGTAATTTTATCATTTTTGAAGTAGTACTTTTTGCTGATTCTGAGCATTCGTGTGAGATAGCTTGAAGACGTTAATATGGAAATATGCTGATGTCTTATGACAAGTTTTATCTGTAAATCTGTTATCGGCCATGTTATCGTAATGGACCAATCACTATTTATGGGATTTATAAACTGTTCTTAGACTATTCGTTAAAATTGGTAAAACAGTTCATGCACATCAAGCATAGCCTGCATGTTATTTTTTTCTATTAAGTCTGAGCGCATTTCTTAAATGAATGGTGAATCTTAAGTTTGTGATGAAAATAGCTCTTAAAGTAACCCTCTCCTGCGATGTGCTCTCACTCGCGCTCTGTGACGCGTCCTGTCTACTGTCAGCCGTTTCAGCTCGTCCTTCCTGCAGAAGTCAAACCTGACAGCAGCTCGGCTGCACGGTCCCAGACAACAGGGCACCTGGTCATCTGCATGCCCAAGGTGGGTCACGGCATTTGCACCTGCTCATCTGCATGCCCAAGGTGGGTCACGGCATTTCGATCAGTTTCAAGTCTGGATATGTTGGTTCCTGAAGGCACTTGATCAGGGCCAGTGATGACTTCTGACCAAGGTTCTTTTGGTTGAGGGAGCCAGAAAAGCTCCTCACCCCAGCCCAGGGGCCTGGACAAGGACGTGGTGGGGCCTGCGCTGGGTGACCCATCCTGCAGATGGTTTCTACCTCCGCAGCCTCCTCCCCCCTCGCAGACCAGAGTTTGCGTGGGAGTTGGGGCGTGTAAATCACAGGTACCATAGAGCATGCCTGTCACATGGTGATCAGTACTTTCCTTACAAAGAGCTTTGAGAGGAGATGTCATAGGCCTTGGGGCTCTGAAAAAAATGTGATTGAATTCCAAATGTTGAGCTTACTAGTGGTGTGACTTTGGGCAAGTTAGTAACCTAGTTCTGGGCTTCTATTTCCTAATATTGCCCTTAAGAAAGATAATACACGTAAAATTCATAGCATAGTGAGCACTCAGTGAGTACCAATATTGTTATTATCATTTTTGTATTATTATTATTTTTATGATATGGGTCAGAAAGTGTTTTAACTAAAACTCCTTTTTGTCTTTTATTTGGGAGAAGTAGTATATATGTACTTTTTTCAGTATTTTTTTGTGGGGGTGGGAGGTAATTCAGTTTTTTTTAAATTTATTTTTAATAGAGGTACTGGGGATATTGTGCTAGTTTCAGGTGTACAGCATAGTGATTCCATTTTTTTGCAGATTATATTCCATTTTAGGTTATTACAAGATATTAAATATGATTCTCTGTGTTTTATAGTAAATCCCTATTGCTCATCTGTTTTATCTGTTGTATCTGTTTATCACATACTCCTAAGTTGTCCCTCTACCTCCCTCTTATGCTTAGTGAAATAAGTCAGACAGAAAAAGACAAATACCGTATGATATCACGTATACAGAGAACCTAAAAAGTAATACCAACGAATGTGTATGCAAAACAGGATCAGACTCACAGACACAGCAGAAGTACATATATATTTTATTTTCTATGGCTGACTTTGAAGACTGGTAGCGTTCCCTCTGCTGACTTTCAGACTCCTTGACTTTGATCTCAGAGTTGATATCTGACACAGAAGCTGTTTAGAAGCCTGAACAGGCCTCACGTAGATGACAGCCCTGAAAGAATGTGAGGGAATCAAGCTTAGAAAAATTCATGTGTCTATAGGGAGCATTCGGATTCCTAAATACAGGTTCTGTGAATGAGTTAGGATGTTTCCTGCTGCAAGCGGCAGAAACCCCCTAGCAAGCTGGCTTTAACCATGAAGAAGTGTTTGAACTCTCGAAGCAAGAATCGGGAAGGTGGGGAGGGCCCAGCAGGGAGGGCCAGGGCCTTTCTGATATGTTAGCCTTGTCCTCAGGTCAGCTTCCTTCCTGACAGGAGCACTAGCAGCAGCCGGGGTGACTTGCCTTCTTGTTCTTACCTCACAAAGATGGCAAGACGGAGAATCAGAGCAAGACACACAGAGAGGCCCTCCCCACCACCATGGGATCCAAGTTCGTCTGGACTGGTTTAGCCAGTTTAGCTGAGAGAGGCCATCCAGCCTTGATTACCTGAACCCTGGACAATGGAGCCAATCTCTGGCCAAAGAGATGATAGCAGTTTTTCAGTTTCTTTTATATTTGGTTACTATTATCTCATCCCAGGAGCTAGGGGTAGAGTCACCTTTGCCCAAGTCGCTCAGGTTTCAAAGGGGAAGGAAGCTAAGCCAATCAAAATGGTTCTCTTTGTGAGGAAGAGAAGGAGGGTGGGACACACAGAGTAAAAACTTGATTAGCCGGTAAGGTTTCTATAGTGATTAATAATCCTTCATTTTCCTAAAGCCAGTTTTGTAACAGATTGATTATGGGTAATCAATTATGTATTTTCACTCTGAGGCAATAAAACAGCAAACACAATTTGTTGTCAAGCAATAAAACAACAAACACACTGTAAGAGTCGCATTGTCCTTGTTGACTGCAACAAATTACGGCAGTGCTTCTGTGCTAATTAGAATATCCTAGAGGGAAATCTAAGCAGTAACTCAATTACCGCAGTGTTTTGATAGAGACATTTGAATGCCACTGTGATCAGCATTCTCCTCTTCTCCTTCTTCCTTCTTTCTTATTTCTTCTTTTTTTTTTTTTTTTTTAATTCCAGTCTAACTGAAACGCCAGATTAAATGGTAACTGCTGTTTCCTAAAAGGAAATCAAGACATAAGGTTTGTGTACCTGTTACAGGCTGCCGGGCAGTGGATCAGGAGGCCTCTTCTGTCAATGCTTAGGAATCTTTTATGTAAATACAGCATTCTGTTTCCATTATCCTTTTTGCTTTTATATCTGTTTAAATTTTTCACATTAAATACACATGAAAAATATATTAAAAAAAAGCTTAGTAATGAAAAAGCACTTCAGAAGTGCTTGCTTGAAGATAATTTGCATAGAGAGAATCAGAATGGTCCTTTTTTTCCTCAATAATAAACTGAATAACATTTTTTCCTTTGAGATACAGACTTTCTAAGATCTGAGACGGCTGTGTTACAGCAACATGATGTTTAAGCTGTCTCTATCATTATCTCTTTAAAATCATTATTAAATTACTAATTGCTACTTCCTTTTATGATTCCTTTTCTATACCTCTATCATTATTCCTTCTAAAAAGTAGCTGCTAGTTAGTAAAATCAATCTTTGGAGAATAACTTCTTGCCCAGAATAGTTGTTTTTCATTCATGAGTTAGGTATGTGCAAGGACTATAAAGCTCAAAGAACAAAAACTTTTTCTTAGAAAATCATCAGAAGTTAAAAAATAGAATTCTGACTTCACTAATGCCTACTATTAAAAATATATATTCCTGAAAATTAACATCTTCATGATTCCTATTGATTGAAAGAGTGGAAGTACTGAAGTTTGATCCACTGAGTGGTTTTGTGTGTCTTGGCTTCTCCCTTGCTGTGGAGTTGTCCAAGTCTGCTGACATTACAGTAACTGAGGCTTCTTCTTGGAATTTTAGGGCATATATTGTAAAAATCATGTAGACACTTAGGTATACTTTTGATTCATTCATCGAACGGTGCTGTCAGTATAGAAAGTGAGAAGTTAGTGCTTCAAGAAATATCAAATACAGTCCTTAGTAGTTTATGATACTTGGTTACTCTAAATTAAGGAAAAGAAATCAAATTTGCTGTGTAGTTGTTCCTCGTAAAAAAAAAAAATACTTGTGAAGAGCTAACTTATTTGGTTTTGTCTGTGCTGTGATGATTCTATTGCATTAATTTGCAAAAATTCAATGATGAACTTTGTATACATTTTTCAAGGACACAAAATGTGTCACGGAATCCACAAAATGCTCAAATATTTCTTGTTAGACACTTGATTCAGCATTTTGTCATAGATGTCAGATTGTCAGTTTTCCCTTCCCTACCCCTGAACGAGTCTGGATCTGTCAGCTGGGTGCTGATAAACAGGCACGTTCCATCAAGTCTGTTCCCTGTCACAGGGGGGCACGGCTGAGTAGTCCGCTGCTGCCGTGCCAGGGGGTTCTCCCAGCTCAGCAGCGCAGCCCGAGAGGCTCTCAGCTCGTGCTAGCCCTGCATCACCAGATGCTTCCCAGCGTCTGCCACCAGGGCTGTCATCCGTGGGCCGATGTGATGCACAAGTATCACAATCCCTACCGTGCTGCCAGAATTCCTGTCTGTCTCTGCCATCTTTATCTGTTAACTTGTGGGTACCACATCTCCCAGAGTACTGCCTCCTACTGTACCTCCTCCATCATGATTTCAAGGGCTGATGTCTTGGCTAGAAGTGGCGAGTGGGGTAGTGGATGGAGAGGTACCCTGGCTTTCTCAGAAAGTGGCATTCAGGAACAGGAGGTCAACTGCCCGGGTAATAGAGGAGTAGGAAACATTCTGCATTTCATGAGGATTTCTCAGTCCTACTCCACAGCTTAGTGGCCTTTCTCTCTTGCTTTCAGCGCTGCTTTGTTCATTAGTCTCAGCTTTTGGAAGCAGGATCCAGGGTCTCATTCTCCAGCGCCTGCAGCGTTTTACTGCATTAGATTTATCCAACCGAGAAACATGGCCCCACAGGTGTCATCTTCTTCTTTGGAGACTCACTCTTCTTCTTTGGAAAAGAGTTTTAATCATTTTTTCAACACAGCAGCCAGATGATCATTTTACAATATATGTAAATCAGACAAAGTCATGTTTTCTAGTCATTCAGAGTTAAAAGCAAATTCCCTGATAACCTCCTCCTGCCATTACCCTTTGATGTTATTTTCTAGCACTTTACCTTCTGATCATTCCAGCCACCTTGACCTCCTTGCTATTTCACAGATATGACAAGCTACCTCGTACCCCAGGGCCTTTGCACTTGCTGTTCCCTCTGCTGGAATGCCCTTCCCCTAGATATCCTCATTGTTTGCTCTCTCCCTTCTTTCTTGTTTCTTTTCAAGTGTTATTTTACCAATGGGATCTTTTCCTGACTTCCGTATTTTAAAAGTTTCCCCTTCCCTACTTCAGTTTTCTCTGTCCCCTATTCTTACTGTATTTTTCTTCATGAAATGTATCACCACCGGACAGTCTGTATATTTGTTTATTTCTTTGTCTGTCTCCTCATCAAGAATTTAAGCTTCATGAGAATAGGGACTCTTGCCTGCCCTTGTCACTGCTGTGTCACTGGCACCTAGAACAGAGCCTGGCAAAGAGTAAGGGTTTAATAAATTCTTGCTGAATGAGTGAATACTTTAAATGCATCATTAAAATACATTTTAATATGTAGAACACGAATCTCCTCTAATTACTCTCCCTCCTTCTCAACCATTTCCTCATTATTTTTCCATGTGTATTATTCCAGGTTAACTTTCAAATAATTTTATTAAATTCTGCCTCTAAAAATGCCATTTGAATTTTTAGTGCTGTTACCATTTAGAGGCAGTAAAAGAAAT